GAGTTTATTTACATCAATGGATAGATAGAGACTTCAGCTTTCTTCTTCTCATATTTATATCATTCCTGTAAGACAGAAAATGAAGGTATGGCACGTTGCACAAGCCCTGTACTTTTAAAATGGCTGTGTTCCAATGGGAATTTACACATGTTTAGAGTGTCACCATTAGGTAAAAGATCTGAGAATGTTGTATTATAAAAATAATAATAATAATATTCATTTTGGACAGTAATTGATGACATATTTGATCTGAAACCTAGACTTTCAAATCTCTTATTCCCCAACATTGGGACAATTGGGGGGACCCCCATCCCCTGAAAAAACTACCCCGTTTTGAAAGTAGCCTAAATAATACATTGTTTAATAGGAAAAAGCTGGAACTCAAAAGGTTGATCGATACGCGTCTCCTTCTTCATAACACTAATGTCCACCGGACACCACGTTCACTTGTTCTGCTCTGCTCTGTGACTTGAGATTTCAATTAGCAATACGTGTGAATATAAAACCACTTGTTTTCTAAAAAGTTGAAAGTATTCTGCAAAAGGAATCCTCTTGAAAAAAGAAAGGTGTTCTATTGTAAAAAAAAAAAAAGCCTCTCTTTTTCTCGCCAAACCACCTGTTGACTGAAAACTGATTATGAAGAGTCATCCAACTTAGTAAGAAATGCCAATTGTGCATGGTGAAGCTATGACACATAATTTGTATACAACAACACAATAAATGTATATATCTCATAGGACATATGACAATTAATGAAATAAGGGATAAGTGCGCAAAAAAGGGATAAGTGTTGATGTAACTATACAGTTTTATTTCCATAGAATCATTCACATATGGAGAGAAACTAATTACAGCAAATGGACAATCGGTCATGTACATTTGTAAAGTCAGCTGCACAAAATGGAAGAACACTGAAATAAAGTTATCTAGACAAGGCCTTGGAAACAATAACAAATACATTGATTGATCCTGGAATGTGATTGTCTTAGCAGAAGTACATAACATAACATAAATATAAAATAAGGATGAAAATGTTGATATAGAAACCAGGTTGCAGGCAAGACAGACAAAAGTTGACATTTTAACATTTCCACTTTCTCCTCAATGGCATCCTTCATTCAGTAAGGGGGGAATTCTGACCCGAATTAAGCGTGCCTAAATGGAACGTAATTCCCTTTTCATGCCCTTATCTCTCTAAGCGTATTCTGACCTTGACCTTAAGCATGAGAATATCATGCTATTCACCACCTATTCCTTTGGGGTGGAGATCACAGAAATGGAGGTGTGGCAGAGGTGTGTCTACAGATATTTCGTATTCTGACCTTGACTTAATTCCATAATTTTTACGTGCAAGGAAACGATTAATAAAGCAGAGCAACTTGTCAGTTCCAAGTGGAACAGCATCTACATAATTATTTTCCAATAGAAATAACACCAATCTCCATGCACTGTAATTTATAAATTGATAAGAGCTATTAATAAGACCTAGGTAAATTAGTCATTAGTTTGGACAAGGGGATTGTAAATATAAATGACAATTTTTTAGATCTATTTTACTTTATGATCGCTGGAGACAAATGTGAAACCAGACATATTTCAGCAAACTGAAAAACATGTCAACATGACACAGTGAAGTATAAATAGCTGTGTCATTATTCATAATTTTAAATGTAGGCCTATGGCTTCATAATTTGCAGGAGTGAAATTTGGAGACCCAAGCCAAGGCTGTTGCCTATGGAAACCTGTGCGCACTGACAGTAGCGCGGAACCTACCTAGTTGGTAGGTAAAAAACCCTGTTTTTTATTTATTTATAAATACTTTGCTAACCCTAAATAACATACAAGATCAGAATATTTTTACATCTTCCAATTGGTGCTGAAAAGGAGAGGAAAATGTATGTATTTACAGGGCTTTCTTTCACTGGTCCCTAATATTCTGAACCGTTCTCTCCATAGACCGGTTAGCTGAGAACTTCACGAAAACCATGTCTTGTTATGAGGTGTTTTGACAAATGTCACGTTTATGCTAATATGTCAAAAAATAATTGCTAGCTAACCAACAACTGTAACAAAGTATTTGAGAGACAACAAGTGCTCATTGTGCAACTTTATTTATGTTCTCAATAAACATTGTAGACTAAATACAGTGGGGGAAAAAAGTATTTGGTCAGCCACCAATTGTGCAAGTTCTCCCACTTAAAAAGATGACAGAGGCCTGTAATTTTCATCATAGGTACACGTCAACTATGACAGACAAATTGAGGAAAAAAAATCCAGAAAATCACATTGTAGGATTTTTAATGAATTTATTTGCAAATTATGGTGGAAAATAAGTATTTGGTCACCTACAAACAAGCAAGATTTCTGGCTCTCATAGACCTGTAACTTCTTCTTTAAGAGGCTCCTCTGTCCTCCACTCATTACCTGTATTAATGGCACCTGTTTGAACTTGTTATCAGTATAAAATACACCTGTCCACAACCTCAAACAGTCACACTCCAAACTCCACTATGGCCAAGACCAAAGAGCTGTCAAAGGACACCAGAAACAAAATTGTAGACCTGCACCAGGCTGGGAAGACTGAATCTGCAATAGGTAAGCAGCTTGGTTTGAAGAAATCAACTGTGGGAGGAATTATTAGGAAATGGAAGACATACAAGACCACTGATAATCTCCCTCAATCTGGGGCTCCACGCAAGATCTCACCCCGTGGGGTCAAAATGATCACAAGAACGGTGAGCAAAAATCCCAGAACCACACGGGGGGACCTAGTGAATGACCTGCAGAGAGCTGGGACCAAAGTAACAAAGCCTACAATCAGTAACACACTACGCCGCCAGGGACTCAAATCCTGCAGTGCCAGACGTGTCCCCCTGCTTAAGCCAGTACATGTCCAGGCCCGTCTGAAGTTTGCTAGAGTGCATTTGGATGATCCAGAAGAGGATTGGGAGAATGTCATATGGTCAGATGAAACCAAAATAGAACTTTTTGGTAAAAACTCAACTCGTCGTGTTTGGAGGACAAAGAATGCTGAGTTGCATCCATAGAACACCATACCTACTGTGAAGCATGTGGATGGAAACATCATGCTTTGGGGCTGTTTTTCTGCAAAGGGACCAGGACGACTGATCCGTGTAAAGGAAAGAATGAATGGGGCCATGTATCGTGAGATTTTGAGTGAAAACCTCCTTCCATCAGCAAGGGCATTGAAGATGAAACGTTGCTGGGTCTTTCAGCATGACAATGATCCCAAACACACCGCCCGGGCAACGAAGGAGTGGCTTCGTAAGAAGCATTTCAAGGTCCTGGAGTGGCCTAGCCAGTCTCCAGATCTCAACCCCATAGAAAATCTTTGGAGGGAGTTGAAAGTCCGTGTTGCCCAGCGACAGCCCCAAAACATCACTGCTCTAGAGGAGATCTGCATGGAGGAATGGGCCAAAATACCAGCAACAGTGTGTGAAAACCTTGAGAAGACTTACAGAAAACGTTTGACCTGTGTCATTGCCAACAAAGGGTATATAACAAAGTATTGAGAAACTTTTGTTATTGACCAAATACTTATTTTCCACCATAATTTGCAAATAAATTCATTAAAAATCCTACAATATGATTTTCTGGATTTTATTTTCTAATTTTGTCTGTCATAGTTGACGTGTACCTATGATGAAAATTACAGGCCTCTCTCATCTTTTTAAGTGGGAGAACTTGCACAATTGGTGGCTGACTAAATACTTTTTTTCCCCACTGTATAGTTTACATGTTGTCAACAATCTAAGCCAACCCTGTCTGTTTTGCCCCATAGTTGCGCATGGGTCGGTCTGTTGAGAAAATTCAAATTAAAGGTACACCAAATTTAAAGGGATGGCTATTGAATGAAAACTCCACGAGAAAATCTGTTCGCCAGCAAGTGTGAGGGTTTTCAGTGGTTGAATTACATTTATTCAGGGCACGCAAGGGAACCATGCCTGCAAAGCCTGTTAAGCTTACTGTATGCTTCCCAGTCGAAACAGTTACAGTTATTATGACAACATTTTGTGAGGTCTTTGTTCGTTTTGGTGTTCGGCAGTTAATTTTTCCGGCTGTTCGAGCACACTTTTTCTTGAGGCAAGCCAAAGTACGACATTTCGTTGGTGATTGGTCAACAGTAGGGATTCTTCAATGAAGTGTTTGTTGTCATTCAAAACATACGACTAGTCTTCATGCAAAGTTTTTCACTTCAGAAATACTGCACCAAACATATTAGTTAGATGTATAATTGTGCGACTAAAACCTCCTCGGCAAAAACGTCAAAATTAATTACAGATTTCTTGAGTTATCTTAATCTTAATTTTGACTATTTTGAGGAAGTGTACTGGCTATGGCGTCTCAAGAGGGACAAACAGTCATATTGCTAGCATGCTAGTAGATACCATAGACTTCCAGAAATTGCGCTAATACTAGTTAGCATTGGCTTGCGAAACTACCTCTAACTTCCTTCATACTGGATGCAGAGACATAAAAATGGTATCCATGAGTTCATCTGATTCTTGGGAAGTAGATAAAGGGCTTCATTGACCAAATCCCAAAGTATCCCTTTAAGGGAGTATGCAAGCACAGATGTTCACTTCCCCTAGCCAAGGGTTAGGCGCAAACCGAACCTATGCAGCCTATTTGGACACCTTTACGCACCTGCATAAGGTAAGGAGGAATGGCGTACATTTCCTAAGTCAGAATCGGCCCTAAAAGTAGACCAGATGTATCTTGGTGAGTGCAAGCATAACACTGACGAGTAAAGTTAATTATAAAACTTGAATATCTGAAATTAGACTGGGTTGTCCCTCCTCCAATACTGAGAATGCACATAAAACACTGACTGGGATGTATAATGTAAACCATTGAAGAAGAAAACATTTTGACTTTGTCCATCATCTTGTGGAGAAGAGTCCTCTAGCATATTGGACTTTAATGTCCATAGCGCAGCAACAATACATTCAGTAGAAGTCTTTAGTCTTTGCATTGCCTCAGAGGGATGCAAGCCAGGGTCCATCCTCACCACGTTTTCCAATAGACTGAATATGCTCCTTAGCCTTCATCCTCAGAGACGCAATACTAGAATTACGAGGATCCAACTCCTCCATAGCTAACTTGTCCATGTACCCAGCCGCTGAGCACTGGTACGGGGGCGGCGGAGGAGGACACAGAGAACCAATATGTCCGAAACTGGGGGAGTTGAGGAAGGGTGGAGGGCTGTAGCTGGAGGGTCTTGGGAGGCCCTGAGATGGGCTGGTGATGAAGCCGGGTAGGGACTGCAGGGGGGTGGATGTGGTGATGGGAGTGCTCAGCCATGGCTCCAGCTGTAGCCCGGAGCCCCGGGACTGGGAGGAGGAGCGGCTGAAGGACAGGAGGGAGGAAGTGTCCTGGAGCTTGATGGAGCTCACCTCCAGCTTCTCCTGGCGACGCCACTTGGCCCGACGGTTCTGGAACCACACCTGGGATGGAATCATCACAACATTCTGATAAGACATTCTGGAATTCAACATTACGAGAACTGTAGCGATTACACACATAAACAAGATTCAGGGCCACTTTGACCAAATCAGTAAAATATTGAAATAGCATACTGATATAGGATCTTAATTTGAGCCAGTTTTCTACAGCAGCAAAGTAATCCTGTAGCAACAGGACATTTTGAATGTGGATATATAGATATTATGTGGATTATAATTAACAGACATTTTTGTTGGGGTTGATACATTTTTCGTAAGGGAAAATCAAGTCTGCTCTACCAACTGTAGCTCAGTTGGTAGAGCATGGCACTTGCAACGCCATGGTTGTGGGTTCGATTCCCACGGGGGGCCAGTATAATATATATATATTTTTAATAACATGTATGCACTCACTAACTGTAAGTCGCTCTGGATAAGAGCGTCTGCTAAATGACTAAAATGTAAATGTAAATTACAAACATCAGAAGGCTTTTTAAACCTCAAATATACACTACAAGTTTTACATTTCCTGGTGATGGTGATCAAATTAAGATCCTACATCTGTGCATTATTTAACCCTAACAATGATAACACAGCTGAAAGGCAGATGAAAGAAAGCTTCATCAGGAAACTTTGCCAAAACGTACTGTATGTCAACTTTCCAAAACTTTGCTGTGTCAAAGAAACTCAATTGCCTATCTCTCCAATTATTAGCACAACAACAGGCTATTGTAAAACTTTGATTTGGTAGGCTATTTGAAAGTATATAATATCTATAATGGGAAGATATCTACTATTGAATATATGAATGATAACTGTCAACCTTTGTGTAATACATGATTTACTATGATACTGTTACAAATGAAATGTCTTGAACTTAATGATACATCATTGGAATAACTTTATCTAAATAATATCTATATAATGTAAGTATATAGGACAGGTCTTGAACTCAATGAGATCTTGTCAGATAAAATACATTCATTTTTACTTAACATCGTTAACTGCTTACTAGACCCAATTAATAGTTTGAATATAGAATCTTATTTGATTATCGTTTCTTATTTGATGATCATTTCAAAGACTTGAAACGGTTTTAACTTATAGACAACAATTATTTTATAAAGCCCTGCTCCACAAACTTCCGACTTAACTAACATCACTGTTAAGATTTAAAATGTTAAGTTATCAAACCCATTCACATGGTTGGTTAACTCTGGAGACTCCTTTGGTGTCTAGAGTCCCGTGTAGCTCAGTTGGTAGAGCATGGTGCTTGCAACGCCAGGGTTGTGGGTTCGATTCCCACGGGGGACAAGTATGAAAGTAAAAAAAAACGTATGCACTCACTAACTGTAAGTCGCTTTGGATAAGAGCATCTGCTAAATATCTAAAATGAAGAGAGTTAGGTAAATCAGCCTTTAATTTCCTTGCACCTTATGTGTGGAATGATCGACAGTACACTTTAAAGTTGGAGGAATTGGTGCCTCTAGGGCATTTCAAAAGATTGTTAGAGGACCTTTTTACTGAAGAATGGTTTTGGTGTATTGTTGTGTATATTACTGTGTATTTTATTGTGTTTTATGAATGTGTAGTTGAAAGTGTTTATTGTATTTTGGTGTGCATTGTGGTGCTATACAGGGCTCATCTGGAAAAGAGACCTTGGTATCAGCATTGACTTAGTGTCAAAATAAAAGGTTAAAAAAAGGGCTATTATCATCAAATACCGTGTGACAATTTACTTAATAGCGAACAAGATAGGCCTAATATAAATTGCAATAACATATTTTTAGTAGGCCTATTACTGACATTAATATTCAACTAAAGACGATTATTATTTCAGGAACTACATTTGATTTAAACTTTTATTGATAAGACTCAGACACACAACTTTTATGAAACGTCTCACAAATAGGATAAGACAAGAACTTATGTTGAGCCCATGCAAGAAACATTAATTGATAGACCTCCTCGATTTGTATTTTATATTACACAGAGTCGAACTTCATACACATTTTCAACAACGGACTCAGTTGTTTGCTCATGATGTACCTGTACTCGGACCTCTGGAAGATGAACTTTCAGCGCGATCTCCTCTCTGCTATAGACGTCAGGATAGTGCGACTTTTCGAACGCTCTCTCCAGCTGGTGCAGCTGAAAGGTGGTGAACGTGGTCCTATTGCGCCGGTGTTTCTTCTTTGGGTTCTCATCATCGTACAGTTTATCCTCCCCTTCAGGTAAGTCAGGACTGACAGAGGCCACCGAACTGCTGCAGCAGACACCTGAAAAATACATTATAGGCTGGATCAATTTATGAACTTCTGAGTTTATATTTGTCGTGACCTTTTACTCTGTGATTCAAAAGTCTACTGGCACACACATGGAATAAATAACAATACACAGCCTATTGGTATGAAAGATAACATTTTGATTAAATTAAGATTGAACAATTTTAAATAACTTTTTCAACAATTCCTTCAGTTTAAAAAATATTGCCAGTGTCACTTACTGTCAAAACTTTTTGGGTTGCGTTCTTTCTTAGGGAATGACATAATTCCGTTTCCTCTCGGCTCAGTGGGTTTTCCTGATCCATTGTAGGACACAGATTGATTAAACATATTTTCGTCTTTAAATCCCAATATTGCTTCAATACTGTGAACCCTCGTTGCGGCTTGATTATGGTTATTCCAGGGGCTTCGGACAAAACGTGCAGAAGGTGACAGGCGCTCTTCCATGACTTCGGGAGTTGAACCAAGAAGCCACATTTGATGTATAAAATGTTCTCAAACTAAATTGAAATGACACTGCGAAATAAATGTAAACTCCCGAAAAAGTTAAATTTAAGTCTTCAGAATGCATAACAAACACAGAATGTTGAATAACAAAAATGTTGAAATAAAATGAAACAACAATTGCGGTTGTTTTGTTGGAATAAAAATCGAATTATCTAATTGTAAAAATCTGTGTAAGGCATGCATCGCAACTGAGTATAGAGGCCACTAGCTGACACTCTACTAGAGGTCTTGTCATATAGAGGAGGCTGTATCTTCTGGGGTTTATAAAGTAGTCCCCCCTGGTAAGACCCCCCTGTCCCTCAGTCCATGTGACAGCCCCCACCTCCCCACCAGACACGTCAAAAGAAGAATGTAATGTTCGATTGACCCAGCCCTGCGGTTTAGGGATAACTACATTGTCCCCATTGAACCAATGCTGAGCAAGGCTACACTAACTCCTCCCCAAGACAAGTCTTCTGCTGTGCTTGTCAGTCAGTCTGTGTTTGTTTATAAACTGCCTTACATAAATCTTAAAACCATCTTTCCCTCCATCTCCAGATGTCATGTGCAGCATCCCAAATGGCACCCTATATAGTGCAATACTTTTGACCATTGGGCCATAGCATTTTGGTCAAAAGTAGTGTTCTATGTAGGGGATAGGGTGCCATTTGGGATGCAAATGCTTATGGTGGCCTGTAAAAGGAGCTGATGAGGTTGGAGATTATGGTTTAAGGTGTCAGAACAATATCATAATTACAAGATTTTGGGTCAGGACACAGATTGCAAGATGTCAGATTAACGTTTGACTAGTGTCTTAATCAAAGGGTGAATACAGTACTATCAAAACAAGTGACCAAATCACATATTTAGTAATGAATTATATTATTACACAATAAACAGGTGTCATGTGCACTTTTGTTTGATTCATAGGCCTGGGACCTACATATAAAATAGTTAAATAGTATTGATAGGCCTTTTGGCATATTACAAACTTTCTCAGAGAGGAAGTTTACACATCCATGATTAAATATTTAATTTAAACTCTTTAATTGACATTAAATGTATTCATTGTCTTGATTTACCTGAACTAGGCCTACTTGTTTTGTGAAGGCCAAATAAATAAATAATGAGTAAATAAACCCATTTTCCTTTTTTTTCTTTTTTTTTTTAACAGTCTACAAAACATTCAAAAACGATTTTATAAAATGAGTTCAACTAAGCAATGAAAACACAAGTTATTATAATATGTGATTAGTAACAGCTATAATCACCTAAAGGCTGAGCTGTTCTCCATTTAAGGCCTCAGCCAGTTGTCTCGATAATTGGACCTACTTCAAGTTGGGTTGAATGTGTTGAATGAGTTGAGTGGGCCTGTAAGCCAGTTGTATCCTAATATCTGTAAGCAAACAAAGCTACTATGGCTTATGCTCCATTAAGTAACCATTGTAAATGTCATAGTTCACATCTAGTTACATCGTTACATCTTTTGGCCTATACAGAACACAACCTTATTATGTGAGAGGTTAACCATACAGACCCTAGTGGAGCCCAGTGGCCCAGTGGGCCTGCCATTGAGGTGCAAATAATTGGAAACATTTCTTAACTTCCTCAATATTGTGGAGGATATGTGTAATTAACACTAAACAAAGATTGACAGCAGGTTGGTAATCCCTGGCCCACATGCTGCTTAAGGGGATTACTTTTTTTTACTCAAAAGAGGTAAAATCCTTAAAAATATTAATTACAATATCCAGGGCTGGGAGCAACTTCATTCAACTCCATTTAGTCAATTAAGTCATGCATTTTAATTTAATTCAAAAATCATCAATGAGTCTATTGTTCCCAGTTTAGGGGATGGGTACATTGTTGTGCATTTGGCTTTGACATTGCTCTGTCAGATGAAAACAGACATGGGATAATATAAAAAATACTGTTGCAAAGCAAAAATTATTCAAAGAATCGGTGGCGGAACCCATCATCTAGCTCACAAAAATGTATTCCATTTACGTGATGATCTTTTACAATGAAGTCTGCGATGTGAGGGTTTCTTTGTGGTATTTTGTCAGAGAAAACATCAGCTATGTGATTTTTTTAATACCGCAAAATGTCACTCCCCCATTCTGTGGAATCCTGTCTAGTTTTCTAACGAACTGAGTCCAATCCAGATCATTTAAGAGAGTCTGACACAAGTAGTTAACCTGATGAGCTGGGACAACCTCCTCATCAACAACCTCCTCATTGATCATATTAACTGCTAATCTTTAACCAGCAAATTCCCAATCCAAGGCATTCTGAACATTGGACTCACGTAAAATTCACAACGTTGAGGGTTTCTTCACCCGGCTTAACCGACACCTAACAATAGTTTCAGTATAATCTCCAATTATACTGAACAACAATATAAACGGAACATGCAACAATTTCAAAGATGTTACTGAGTTACAGTTCATATAAGGAAATCAGTCAATTAAATTAATTTGTTAGGCCTAATCTATGAATTTCACATGACTGGGTGGGCCTGGGATGGCATAGGCCCACCCACTTGGGAGTCAGGTCCACCCACTGGGGAGCCAGGCACCAGCCAATCAGAATGAGTTTTCCCCACAAAAAGGGCTTTTTTACAGACAGAAATACTCCTCAGTTTTATCAGCTGTCCAGCTGGCTGGTCTCAGACTATCCCACAGGTGACGAAGCCAGATGTGGAGGTTCTGGGCTGGCGTGGTTACATGTGGTTTGCAGTTGTGAGGCTGGTTGGTCGTACTGCCAAATTCTCTAAAACGATGTTGGATGCGGCTTATGGTAGAGAAATGAACATTATATTCTCTGGCAACAGCTCTGGTGGACATTCCTGCAGTCAGCATGCCAATCCCTCAAAACTTGAGACATCTGTGGCATTGCGTTGTGTGACAAAATTGCACATTTTAGTGTGGCCTTTTATTGTCCCCAGCACAAGGTGCACCTGTGTAATGATCATGCTGTTTAATCAGATTATTGATATGCCACACCTGTCAGGTGGTTGGATCATCTTGGCAAAGGAGAAATGCTCACTATCAAGGATGTAAACAAATTTGTGCACAACGGTTTAGAGAAATAAACTTTCTGTGCATATGGAACATTTCGGGGATCTTTTATTTCAGATCATAAAACATGGGACCAACACTTTACATGTTGCGTTTTTATTTTTGTTCAGTATAATTGAAGACCCATTTCTTTATTCAGCCTCTTATGGTGTGTTAATGTAATTCAAATATTAGCCTCTTATGGTGTGTTAGTGTAATTCACATATTTAACACCTAATCTGAGTCCCATAATATGTGCGTTTGATTGGCTGTGTTTGTCACGATCGTCTATGAAGTAGGACCAAGGCGCAGCGTGTGAAATAAACATGACTTTATTTAATTAAAGTTCCTAAATATAAACAAAACACGATTCGTGAAGTCCACGGTTAAACATACCGTCACGGAACAAAAACCCACCAACACAAGGTGAAGACACACAGTTTACATATGGCTCCCAATCAGAGATAACGAGCCGACAGCTGACACTCGTTACCTCCGATTGGGAGTCACTCAATACAAACATAGACATCGACAACCTAGACACCCAACATAGAACATGAACACATAGAATGCACACACCCTGGCTCAACATAATGAGTCCCAGAGCCAGGGTGTGACAGTACCCCCCCCTAAAGGCGCGGACTGCGACCGCGCCTCAAAAACCCCAAACAGGGGAGGGCTGGGCGGGCATACCTCCTCGGTGGTGGTTCTGGCTCCGGCCTTGACCACCACCCTCCGATACACCCCCCATAGTACCCCTGGTCCTGTCTAGCCCCGCTGGCCGGAGCCGGACTGACGACACGCGCCCCTGGCTTGGTGCGTGGAACAGGAATGGACCGGAATGGGCTGGCGACGCGCACCACAGACTTGGTGCGGAGAGCAGGAACGAGCCGGACAGGGCTGACGACGCACCCCGTAGGCTTGGTGCGTGGAGGAGGAACGGGCCTTACCAGGCTGACGACTCGCGCCCCTGGCTTTGTGCGTGGAGGAGGCACGGGCCTTACCAGGCTGACGACTCGCACCCCTGGCTTTGTGCGTGGAGGAGGAACGGGCCTTACCAGGCTGACTTCTCGCACCCCTGGCTTTGTGCGTGGAGGAGGAACGGGCCTTACCAGGCTGACTTCTCGCACCCCTGGCTTAGTGCGAGTGGCAGGAACAGGCCGGACCGGGCTGGCGACGCGCACCGTAGGTTTGGTGCGAGTGGCCGGAACAGGCCGGGTCGGGCTGGCGACGCGCACCGTAGACTTGGTGCGGGTGGCAGGAACAGGCCGGACCGGGCTGGCGACGCGCACCGTATGTTTGGTGCGAGTGGCAGGAACAGGCCGGGTCGGGCTGGCGACGCGCACCGTAGACTTGGTGCGGGTGGCAGGAACAGGCCGGGTCGGGCTGGCGACGCACACCGTAGGCTTGATGCGAGAAGCAGGAACAGGCCGGGCTGGGCTGGCGACGTACACCGTAGGCTTAGTACGTGGAGCAGGAACCGGCCGGGCTGGACTGGCGACGCACACCGTGGGTCTGGTACGTGGAGCAGGAACAGGTCGGGCTGGGCTGGCCACGCACACCGTAGGCTTTGTACGTGGAGCAGGAACCGGCCGGGCTGGACTGGCGACGCACACCGTGGGTCTGGTACGTGGAGCAGGAACAGGTCGGGCTGGGCTGGCCACGCACACCGTAGGCTTTGTACGTGGAACAGGAACCGGCCGGGCTGGACTGGCGACGCACACCGTGGGCTTGATGCGTGGAGTAGGAACAGGCCGGTCCGTACTGGGAACACACACCACTGGCCTTAACCGGGGATCAGGAACGGGCCGGACCGGACTGGTAACACACCTCAGTCTCTTACGCCGTGCCTCAACTACTTCCCTCCCTCTACTCGCCAATGGCTCCCGTAATCCGGTAGCCTTCTCTCCACGTCTCCCTGTGGCAGCCTCCTGCTGCCCAGCCGCCCAAGCCATGTGCCCCCCCAAAAAACTTTTTGGGGTTGCCTCTCGTCCCTCCGA